AAAAAAATGTCAAACCATGACACTTCAACTATAAAATATACATGCTGTTACATTAGTGCATTTCACAATTATTTTATGTTTTTTAGCAAAAAAAAGCTCCAAAACTTTTTCGCCTCGCTTCGCTCGGTGACAGATTTTATTCTACGCCTCGCCCCCTCTTTCAAATATCCTAGAAACGCCCCTGTATATAGCTAGTGGCCTTGGGTGCCGCACTGATTTGAACTTACCGTTTGTTTACCAACTTAGTGACGCCATGAGTAACTCATTAATTAAACAGCAACGATGTTATAGTGTTATTTGTTGTTTTGTACGACAAACGTACCATGACTGAAGACTAGATTTATATTTTGACGGTGGACCATGCCAGTCACCTCTCGTATCCCCCTTGCGGGCGGGACGCCAAATTAGGTAATAATGAACAAGTCCCCTGTGGATTCATACATTTGTCATCACTAGGTTGCCCCTATAATAATACCATCTGACTTCTAAAACACGCTGTTGATAGAGAATTTGAACCGAAACATTAATTTTCTTTCCAGTACACCAAAAAAGTCTTTGGGCCATACTTAAAATATGTTTTTTTCTTCTTGTTAATTAAACATAAAAACAATCCTCAGAACACGGAAAATCGCTTCTGAGACGTTCTAGAAAACACATTTTTTGGGGGGAGATCCCCCAAACCCCCCTTACGGGAAGGGGGTCTGTACCCTCCCCCTCCTCGCGCTACACGCTCGGGCTGCTGCCTTTCACAGAACACCGTTGACTATTGAGAAAAATGTCTCGGCCCCCCCTTTTAGAAATTCCTGGATCCGCCCCTGAACAGTCTTTCCTTGCGAGATACTCCAGTCCGGCTTCTGATTTATATGGAAAGTGTTTAATTTACTGTTATTTTTTTTAAATCATCTTTAAAAAAAAATCATTTCACTCGGCCTAACTGGACCTTAATAGATGTACATAATTAAGGATCCTATTGTCGCAGTTCTCCAGCGGTACCACGGAATAAGATCTAAGTCCGTGGCAGTACCAAGAACTATAAGATACACTGTGATCAAATGTGATTTCGATTGATTTTACAGAAATATTCCAATGTTTTATAGCGCATAACTGAATTATTAATGTTCTCGGTCTAAATTCTTGGCCAAAGGTATGGTTCGCAACGTTACATGTGTTAAAAACACTAGCGTTTGGTAAGTCTATCTTTCAAAGGAAGGCACGTGATTGCAACTCTTGGTAAACGACGATGACTTTTAACCAATTCGAGTTATCATCAAATGGATTACGAAGAAACGGAGGCCGTTTTTTGTTAAGAGACCCGTGACATTTATACTGATGTTAAATTTCACATTCTAGATTTTTGGCTTTTAGGTTCTATTCCATTTTATATCTGATAGTGGTTTCACAAGCCCATAAGAAAATATCTATTTAAATATGACATATTTGTCGTCCACATCATGAAATGTCTATTGCAATATACAAATTGTATATAGTACATTTTTAAACGCATAAGAGGTAATTGTTTAAGAAAAAGTATATTACAATACATACATTGTATACTAGATGAAGCAAATATAACTGCAATTATACCAAAATTATCAAATAACAAAAAAAAAATCAAAATTGATGCAGATAGTCAGTTTAACCTCAGTAATTATATAATGCCTCAGTCACATTTGCGCCGGGTGCCGACCGGGAAGTAGGAATCGGCCAGCTTCCCGGCGTCCCGGGCGCCGGGGACTTGTTTCCGATGTCTGGGATTTGCCGTGAGTAATGTCACATTAGATATGAACACCGCACGGCACCCGCAAACACTTTACCGGATTAAATCGAACGGACATCTGAAGGATACCGTAGGGAGCCCGTAAGACTATCGCAAAATACTTCAAGGCTATATCTAACGATGGCCGGGCTGTCGTACGGTAGCCGGAAGACATGTTCGTGCGGCCGTGGGACACGGGCAACTTTGACCTCCGCGCTAATAGCGGCTCCCGGCAACGACCCGTGTGGCGTCTAAAAATCCGGCAGATCAGTGGTGGACCCAGGGGTGTTTCCCTAGTTGCCCGGGCAACACCATTTTTCTGTGTCCAAAAATAATGTGGACTTCTGTTTTTGAAGATTTTCCTCTTTTTCATATGGGATTTTCTTCTAATACAAAATGTATCAGAGACGTATAATTCATGCATTATACGTCTCTGTATGTATCAACTATGATTTTCTATGGCAAGCAGCAGTTTGAATATCTATATATGCCTAAGGGTGCAGTTGTCCAAACAAGGAGTCCACTACTTATACTCTAAACAGGTCAATTCAACTAGTTTATTCTGTAAGCCTTACGACTTATAAGATACAAAACACAATATTAATACATATTACCAGGTCAAACAGAGTAATGATGTACAGTAGTGTGATAATTGTAATCGTATCATATATACACACACACACACACACACACACACACAAGAATGTGATAATACTATAATGACTGAGAGCGCTTCTTAAAAGCAAATCTTATATATTTACCAAGATTACACAAATCATTTACATTATTAGCACTGAGCAATTGAACAAGTTTAAATACACTGGGACGACTAAAATAGTATGGCTTCAGGTACTATCTCACCCGTAAATCTGCATAAATAGGACACTTAAGGATGAAGTGAAACTCATCCTCAATATCATGAGTATCACATAATGTATAAACTTTATTGGACCTAGCTAAATTATTGTATCTTTCACTTTCAATATTGAGTTTGTTGGCGCTTAAGCGAATACATGAAATACTGTTCTTATACAACTGATCAATAGTTTTTTTAGGTAGTATTGCAGACAAAAATTATCTACTTAATGCTGATGCAATGTTCATTTTGGGGAATTCTGTATTTTAGACAAAATTTCTTGTACGTGTATATCATAAAATTTGTGCTCTATTAACTTGTACACAATCTTACTTCCATAAATACCCTAATCCTAACTTATTTAATTCTGATTGTATATTTATAATCCAATCATCATTATCTAATATTCTCTGTTCATAACATGCTTTCAATATACAATTGTCTGTTTCTTTCACTTTAACCCAGTATTTTAATATTTTCATTTTCCGAACAATATACATTGGAAGTTTACCTAATTCGCGCTAATAGCTCCCGGCGACGACCCGTGTGGCGTCTAAAAATCCGGCAGATCAGTGGTGGACCCAGGGGTGTTGCCCTAGTTGCCCGGGCAACACCTTTTTTCTGTGTCCAACATTAATCTGGACTTACGTTTTTGAAGATTTTCCTCTTTTTCATATGGGATTTTCTTCTAACGTCAACCATCCTGTGAACTATGATTTTATATGGCAAGCAGCATTTTGAATATCTATATATGCCTTTGGGTGCAGTTGCCCAAATTGCTTTTGATTTTGAAGGTTTTACGTCTGCTTTTACGGCCTTTCGGCCTTTCAGTAGACGAGAACAGATAGGAAATGGAAATAGAAGGGACAAAGTATGGAGAGAGAAAAGGAGAGAGTAGGAGAGGGTAGAGGTGGAGGAGATAGAAGTCGTCTGTCCTATTGACCTACAGGGGGGCTAGTATAATTTTGTGTGACGACTTCTGAGCCAAAAAACCCCCCATAAAACCCGTTTATAGCTCATCATGATGTTGGACGCGGTTAGAGAGGGGCGGAGGGGAGGTATGGCACACCAAGGAAGCCCCTGAAACAAGCCAAGCCGGTTTAGCCCTAGCTGATAGGAATTTACTTAAATCTAGTTTTTGAAGTCCGTCTAAAATTCGTATAAATATACCTAACACTTATTAAAAGTCTAAAATATCCTAACCTCTGAATCGGCGTTATCACGCCTTCGAAAATACCCAGTTGCCCAACAAGGAGTCCACTACTTACGGGATGTGTAGTGGAGCCCCCTGACTACTTATACTCTAAACAGGTCAGTGGTGAAAGCTCAACGGACTGACTACCTAATCGTATTGTTCTAATGTCACTGTGGTGATCACCCTGTCCGTTGAAAGAAGATAAAACCATCTGTTGGAATTAGGTATATATGTAAATTGTTATTTCAAAGGTAGAGTCCATTTCATGATAGATAAACCTGTATTTTCACCTGTGGTTTCATGTACACATGATCACCAGGAGTGATTTATTATACCTGTTAAAAAATGTAAATTTCAAAAATTTCAAAGACAATAAAGCATCCACCTTAGCATCACGTTATCAGGTGAATAATAACCAATGTTAGCATAAAAGCCTGGCATGTATATATATATCTTTTTTTACAGGTGTTGCCCTTGTACATATGCATGCATACAAATTCACAATAAAAGACAAATAGTCAAATCATAATTCATATTTATGACAAAATAAATCAATATTTAATTGCCAAAATGCTCGCCTAAACTACATGCACATGAAAGGCATGACACAAACATCAACATTTTAACCAAAAACCTACATTTTTACCATTGCTTCAGAGAATTTGTTAACACTCGCTCCGCTCGGCCATCATAAAATATAAATACTCTATGTTATAAAATATAACCTGGAATAATATCGCAAACTCAGAAAACTATTCTATGCCTTATTCGATCTGTTTGACAATGGAAATAATGTCCGATAAATTCTAGCTTTCTACGTTTGGCAGTGCTTGAAGAAGTTTAGTATTACATCTTCAGAGAAAAACAATCGCCTCGTTCTGCTCGGCAGGGAGATTATGATTGTCATAATCTCAGAAATAATGAAGTTCTATATATTGTTTGGTGCCAGAAAGTATAGTATACATGTAACCGACATGACAATTATAACTTATTGGGTTTTTTTTAGTCTTTTTCTGAGTTTAAAATTTTGGGCAACACCCAAAATTAATTCCTGGGTCCCCCCTGCAGATATAGTGGCCAATAATCTCACGGCGTCCTTATAATTACGGTACCCCGGCTTGCCGGCCGATTTTTGCCAAAACACTCATCGCCCGGGCGCCTTTTCGGAAATCGGCGCGAATGTGATTGAAGCATAAGTAAGACGTTATCGGGAGAAATATGCCGTCAAAGCATCAACGATATACGCAAGGTTAAACTTCACATGTAAAGATATCCCTTTTAGTATTGACCATTCAGAACGGTGCTTTCTATGCCCTGCATTCAAAACCGTAATTGGTGTCAGATCAATCGGGAATCGTCGGCACTTTCGGTAAAAAGAGAAAGCGCCGACGGTTCCCGATTGGTTTGAGAAAAGATACCCATTCAAATAGCGTCGTTTTACTTGAAAAAAAAATAAACAGAAAATTCCATGTTTTCCCAAATTGAATACCATATAACTCGAATGACAGAATATGTATCTTTATGAATTATAATATCATTCATGTGTACGTTAAGCCGTATGAATTCCCCCTTTTTTACACGATCAAGAATGTTAGCGAAGGCAGATTTCCTCTAACTTAGTCAAGTCTTCAACGTCAACTTTGCGTAAACACTAACATCTATAAACATCCTCGATATCCAGGGGTTACGCTCACTTTCGCTCTCTGCACCCTGGAATATGTCATGGCAAAAAAAAACCTGACCAGTTGCTAGGCTGATACCTGTCCTTTGAAGATTACAAAGGAGAGACGCCCGACTCCAAAGCCTGTCAATTTTTACCGTTACGTGACCCCGAGATTCTTTTGACGAACATCAAAGGATCGAATTAATCTTCTCGTCTCGTCCCCCATTAAGACCCCCTGTCCGCTAACATCCGGGAGCGATTAATGTAAGTTGATTTAATTTGTATAATAATTGTTGTAAAATAAATAAAGTATTGTTTTTACAGAACGGGATAAAATATGTGTGATGTTTCAAATTCATGTCACTGATATGATGAAATTAAAGATCATTCACTGAGGAAATCATTCTGGGGGAATGAAGCGGTGACTCTAAAGATAATATTTGTTGAGCTTTGTGGAAGTAAGTTATTTAAACGTTTTTAGGTACAATTAATATCCTCGGCATGCTCATTTTATTCGAATACCTTGAAATTGTTGTTCATAATATTATGTTCTCTATACAAATCAACAATTTAACAGCCACTTGGCCGGGCCGAGATGGTGTTGACCCAGATTAAATCAACGAGTTGACCAAGTTGATCACCGAGTTAAATCCCGTAATAAACGTTTTGCTAACACCCCTGAAGGTCGGGGATTGAAATAAGACATCGTTACAGTCCATTTATGTAGAAATCCCCCTGTGGAATTGGGGATTTGCAGTTAAGCCTACGAAAGTAGCCATAATACCCCCCCNCTGTCACATACACGACTGTCTTCGATCTCGAAAACCTTACACAACTCGGTAGCGAAGACGACCACATCCTCTTGGGTGCTTTTCTTCTTGACGAGGCTCTGTAGGCCCGCTACTGCCACCTTACAGATGCTACAGCCGACGGCACCGAAGTCCATCGTACCACACTTCGACACGAACCGTTTGTAGCTGGGCACCTTGGAGGGAAGGTACCGGTTCTCAAACATCGGATGAACCGTGTCTGCAGGGACTGCGACATCTCGTTCTGTTTCGCTGCCACTTTTGTACCGATTATAGACCCAGGGGGCACTTACCAGTGTCACAATGACAGCACACAGTGAGACGAGGAGAACGGTTTTCGCATCCATCTTGGCGCAGTGTAAATACACACGAACATCATGTGTATCATACGATCGTGTACGGTGACCCTCGCGTGACACGTCATCGCTCGGGTGACCAGATACTAGCGTCATAACAATGTACAGTTTGTCACAATGATAGTGTTAAAATGATAGGCTACTTCAGGGATGTGTTTTACCACAAATCCATGGCTACTTACATAATTTCATAGGTTTTTAAACCACGTTATGTGGCTTTTGAACAGCAGTCGTAAAACCGATGACACGGAAGTAGGAAAGGAGCGCCGTAACCGTAATAAATTATGAAGTCATATCATGTTAATACATATAAATACGTGGATTTGAAATAAATATTCACTCTAATCATAGAAACTTTCTCATGTGAAAACCTTTTATAGAAACATTGCCTTTTCAAACTACGACACGCCAGGGGCATACTTTCAGGGTATCTATTACATCTGTAGTTACAAGTTATACTTTCCTGTTTATCACTATGACCTAGTGCACGGTATGTGTCCTGCACTGTTTACATACAGATAGGATGACCGCATTGTCATTGTACGTACGACAGGCGTGACCATTTCGATTTTCCGAAAGTGAACTTTCCCTTTCCTGATCGTAACACGCTCTCAATCGTTCAGTATTTACGTAGAGAGATGGCAAGTTATTGAAAATATCTTTAAGTGTATAACAGATATCTGTGAATGAAGTAGAGATATCCTAAAAACTGATCGAAGATACATTTTCTATTAAATAGGTATATCTTATGAATTTATGTTGTTTTGTACACAGACTGTTCGAACCAGCACACATCGCATGCATTATTAAAGATATTATTAAGTTAATGAGTTATCTCCTGAAGTCTATGAGACAGATGATGATAATGAACATTCACGGTAAGTCTGTGGTGAATATGGCGTGTACAGTTCACCATACACATACTAAAAAGTCACACGATTGTTAGTGTGTCCGTCACACGGCCACATGACCATTTAGTTTCCGTAAGGACATATGAACCGGAAGTGTTTTTTGTTACACACAGCTGACGTATTTCCATATGTTTATTCTCTGTCCTGGCTCAATACAATGTTAGTGATGAACAAATCATCTAGAGTGTAGGGCTACACCATCAGAATTACAGCACGCATGCTAAACATGAAACTCTGGAAGATGTTAACAGTCAGAGCCCAACTGTCGGGGTATCAACCCGAAAACAAAGGTATTACATAGATATATGTACCTGTGTATTGAATGATGTAGATTAACGTTTCTAGAGCTGGGCAGTAACGTACGAACGACATAATCAGACGTGGTAGTCGTTCCTTGTGTGAAGACGACAGGGAAATACTACCAGAAGGGTTATGATTAACAATATCCCATGCTTTTTTATGGTCTTTTAATGAACACAACTCCTGGTCTGCAACGTTACATGTACATGTCGGAATATTTCCCTTTCAAGCCATACCAACATACAAGTGAATGATGAAAAAAGAACATGTTTCGTGGCATGCCGTCATTATCTTTACTGTGACGTCACAATTACGTCCCATATTAGATTCAGAGACAACCGTAACAAGCAAGCATTTTGGTGACGTAAGGATGTTCCAGGAATCTCGTTTGCACTGACGACAGACACTTCAATATCGAAAACATAAAGGAATATCTATATTTAGGTCAATAAAAACTAAATTTTTAGAATGTTAATATCAGGATTGAACGGCATTTTTTCCCAATTCCATACCGGTACGAAAACAAAATTAGTTACATACATATTTACCATGAAGAATATGTTTATGTAAACAATTTGCGTTCATATCAGTATAGAATTGAAAGGCGTGAATGGTTTCTTAATCCTCGTGTGACTGCTTTCTCACACCCCTGCATGGTCCATTGTGTTATCTCCGTTATAAACGTGATACGCTGTGCTATCTAAGGGCAGGTAGATTTTCAGCAAGATTTACTTAGGAATGTACAAGGTCTTAAACCAAGGCAGTCACAGCAACAACAAGCAAAGAGGGCACTTTAGAGACCACATGTAGCATTGATCTAATTTCTATTGATAAACACTCATATACACGTACGTAATGAAGATTTCCTATCATTATACATGGAGGAGCATTGGGGTAAACACATTATCTAAGGGACATAAGGGCAGGAACATCAGCGAATTTCTGGAATATTTGTCTCTTTCTTGACCAGCACTTTCTTTTGTCATTATGGTCAAATCAAAATTGGATACAACTGTATTGTCACTTCACTGTCACCACACTGTAGATAGAGAGTTTTCTTAAGAAAATATGTACACAAGAAAAATTGAACCAGGTTTTTATTAGTAAATGATGACAATTCACACCCCTACACAAGGTAATGGGATATCCAAGAACTACGGAATTAGACTGCTCGTCCGTGATATACAATGTAACAGAAAACAAAATCAAGGTTGTTTATCATCCGCATATCTTTAGAAAATCAAAGCGTGCTCAGCATACCTTGTGATATGACGTCAGGTTTGATAAAATGAGAAGACACGTCTATTTTTAGTAACGCACTATTATTATCGCATAGCGCACATGGTAAGCGATCGGGGAAAGCCGTATGCGATTCTCAGTGTTGTGTATTTGAGGCCCGCGCTCCGTCAGCAGTGCATGCGGCACCTATGTGCTTATTCAAATCCCAAGAAATCGACTTTGGTTTCAAACACTATCAACATGGCTAAAGTTTTGGAAGGACTCTTGGGCACACACGTTATTCGTGGTCAGGGAGACAAAGCCGAGAAAGTGTCGGTAAGCTCGCTTTGTGGACGGAATTCCGTGGTTGGCCTGTACTTCTCTGCACACTGGTGCCCCCCTTGTAGGGGCTTCACACCAATTCTTGTTGATTTTTATAAAAGTTGGAAACAAAAAAGTGAGGATGTTAAATTTGAGATTGTGTTTGTGAGCTGGGACAAAGATGCAGCCGGATTCACGGATTATTTCTCCTCTATGCCCTGGCTGGCGCTTCCATTTGACCCAGACAGACAAAAAAAGGTAAGTCGGTAAAAGTTAGCCAGGTGTACACGCTATTTACCTGTGAGGCTGTGAACAGGTATGTATACATCCCTGTATAAGTTACGGTACATGTAGTATATAGGATGGCGTATACATGGTGTGGACATCGGCTGCATGCTCAGATACCGTACATGTTCAACACTATCGTTGATCAGCAGCATGGAACAAGTTACTGTCGTCTGCAGGCTCGCGATCGTGGCCTGGGACCGTGTCTTGTAATAGATGGAGATGGTGGTGTTGTCAGCAGTACGATTAAATATGTATTTCCTATGTAGAATTTTATGAAGTGTGCATTCAATTTCCCCACAAAAATGTATAAAAAACAACCAAAACCATACGACTGATTTTGGTAAAATAGTGACATTTGATCTCAGTATTTTCAAAATTATTACCACATATTCATTAATTACCTTTGTTCCTAAATTATCCTTCTAGTTCAGATTATGGAGAATATTGCAAGTAAAAATTTCAAATATCTAGAATGATGATCAACATACATCCCCATGGGATATAAGGTATGACAAGTTAGCAACAAGGCTTATTGAAGGTGAAAAAGAACATGCAGCACATATAATTTTACCTGTAGACTGCACAACAACCTGAATAACAGCTTGACTTGTTTGGCTTGAGTACTGAGACTGGTTAGCTTAATGATTAGTTGTCATATTATATCCCATTGTCCTTTTTTTGAGTAAAAATTATGTCAGAGCCCACAACAAGATTCCTACTCGGAGATGTACCCAGAAAAAATGCCAAAAGGATGCCAACTGTTATCGCCCTGAAAATGGGCATATTTTGTTTTTGCTTAAAAATATATGTAGATTTTCACATTTGAAGTTGTAAAACAATTAATTGCTTCACCATTACATCATTACGCTGTGCTTAATTAATGTGCATTGTACACGGCCATGACTAGCCTAGGATATATTTTTAAAATGTTTTATTTTGGTTCCAAGACTGGGCAAAATTTCAACAACAAATGGCTCAGTTAAGGCCAGGAATAATTCAAAATGGTTCCAATTACAGGCTTATGATGCATGATAGAATTCCATGAGCCTGATACATTGTAGGGATCCCTGTGGTGATAATTGTAGGTGTCCCTGTGTGGTCAGTGGAAGGTAATTTTGTCATAAGTTAACACCATAGTTGAAAAATCATTTGTCTAAGAAAAGTAAATTCAAGCCATCAAATAAAACAAATATAATTTAGCTTCTTTTGGAATCATGAAATCAATCTTTATTTCCTCTGTAATTGGTCAATATTTGTTTTTGCAGAACATTGTCACCACAAGAAGTAAATATTTTATATTTCTACCGACTGTATAAGTTAATGTACTATAAAAATCCAGCAAAGTAACTTAAATTTTTATCTTGATCGTCTTGTTATACACTCTGGAATTATCAGGTACAAAGAATGATTTTAATGATTTTCCATTTTATGAGGTTAATGAAAGAAGTCAAGAACTTATAATACCATTTATGAGTTTTATGCAATTGGTTCCATTGTACAGTCTTCAATGTAGCCATCTTGATTTCATGCCTACATTGTCTGTCATAATGTCATGATGTCATGTCTAGACTATTGTCGGTCAATGTCATGATGTCATGATGTCATGTCTAGACTATTGTCGGTCAAAGTCATGATGTCATGCCTATGGTCTTCATAGTCACTATATCGTGGCTTGTCTGTCATGATGTCATGTCTTGTCTGTCATGATGGCATGATGTCATGTCTAGACTATTGTCGGTCAAAGTCATGATGTCATGCCTATGGTCTTCATAGTCACTATATCGTGTCTTGTCTGTCATGATGTCATGTCTTGTCTGTCATGATGTCATGATGTCATGTCTAGACTATTGTCGGTCAATGGCATGATGTCATGATGTCATGCCTATGGTCTTCATAGTCACTATATCGTGTCTTGTCTGTCATGATCATGTCTCTGTTCTGATGTTGGAATGGGTGGTATTATATGAGGTAAAATATGTTTTATTTAAGCATGAAACTGCTTTCAGTTGGTTATTCATTGGCAATGTGAATGCCAACTGGACAAAAGGCAAATTCAATAAAGTGTACTAGCACTTCATGATGGATTTGTCTTTGTACAGTTGTACAATACTTATATTTTTGAAATCTGTTTATCTTAGAGATAAAATTAAGTTTCACTTGCCATTAATATTATTGAGCATTTAGTTTCCAGATAATGTATTTATCGTATATACTTGTTCAATCATAATAGATTATCTGCCTGTCCAGGGACGGTCAGGTGTATCCAATGTAACAATTATGATGTCATAATAATGATGATGTCAACAATCGGCTCATGGCATTCACTGCCTGTATGAATGCCATCTTAATGTGGTAAAGTTATGTGGTGGGCATGCCATACGGTGGTAAATATTTGTGTGTTGACTGACTACATTGTACATGATCAGAAACATTCTGTTGTAACACATCAGTTTATTTCATAATTCCTGATATATCTATTTTAAACTCTGAAGTGCCTATGCATGCAGTAATCATAAATCTCAGGTGAAATTTTGCAGAACCAAGCTGTAGTGCTTGGTAATGTCTGTCTCCAGTGTGTGCTGCAGTGTCTTACATAAGGGGGAGTCGCTGTAGACAGCCAACAGTGATACCCAGCCTCAGATAGAGAATTTACTGCCCCTGGCTGAGAGCTTATGTTAGTTTTTTCTTCACCATCCCTTCCTTTAAAAATATCTAGTTACCTCAATACATAACACAGAAGATTGAAAACCAGGGCGTCTCTTCAAAAATTGAAGTGGATGTGTTTTTAATTTGTTTACTGCAGTATTATTTAATTACTTTCATACATGTCTGCATTTTTTCGTGTCTGTGAAGAACTTTCTGAATTTTTACTGCTTACAAGACTTTTTCCAGACAATGTCTACATGGATGGCCAGGTCCTGGAGATTGAATACAATTTGACACTGAATTATTAAACATATATAGTGTTCCATTCCATACATCTGTAGATGTTGTACAAATACTAGTTTAATCTTGATGCAAACATCCGTCTACTGTAAGTTTTTTTGATGAGAAGCTGCAAATATGAAATCAACTACTCTGAAATTCCCTTTTTTCATTTGTATTTCAATTTCAAAAATTCAAATTGTTTTTCAATAAACTTTGTAGTAGAATATTTCATTCACAATTTTGTTTTAAATATTGAAATAATGGAAGTGCTTTTTTATTGTTATGTAATTACATATAATTTTTTTAAGCTTTAAATTGTGAATTTTCCAGGTTTTATCAATTGTTTGATCTGTGGCACATGAGAGTAAAAACGGCTGTATCTGGGAAAAAAATCGGTGAGAAATATGAAAAAAACAATTGTTTTAAATTTTGCGATATTATGCATCAAGTAGGAATCAAGTAGAACAGCTGTCCGATTCCTCAGCATTGAGATGACTAATCAGTGAGTATCAGTTCCTAAATAACACAGTCGTGATTAATGGTACTGCCAATAAAAACACCATGTGTTATATAGCCTCATCTATAAAACACTACATTACAACACGGCCGTCTCCACTCCGTAGTTCACTCTGATAATGGCCAGCAGTCTTCTACCTGCTGGATTTTATTCACAAATTTGCAATTATTAATTGTGGTCCCAGTACTCATAATGTTTGGTGCAGTTAACTGGTGCTACAATGCCTGTGTAGAATGGGTAGCACACATGCAATATCATACTTTTCTCCCCCAGGAGAATTACACGCCATATGCTATGTGAATGTTACAAGAAAGTGGCATTATCAATAGCACCACAGTAGCAACATAGGAAGAAGTGATCACACTGTGCAGGAGAGTTGATTCTCTACTTAGTTCCACATACTATTTATGTGAGCAACATTTATGCCACATTTCACTCAATAAACACACCTCTTACAAATATAATCAAGGATTAATCTAGCCCATATTTACGCCCTGCCACAAAGTGTTTGCCCTGCTTGTATGTCTACCCAGTGTTTGTCCTGCCTGTAAAGTTTTCAGGTTTAGGTCAGTTCTGGACCAGGCTGCAGCTCGGGTCCTGTAGCTTCATATCCTTATGTGCCTTGTTGAGTACAGCATATGTTTCATGGATTTTTGTGACCTTCACCTTTGAACATGACCTCTGTGACCTTGGTTAAGATTTTGTGTTTAGGTCAGGTAATTAAAGACTATAAGTATTGCAGCTGCGTTCGTACAATTTTACATGTTAATGCCCCTGTATGAGTACAGCAGCATGTTGCATGACTATTTGTATCCTTGACCTTTGACCTTGATCTCTATGACCTACAGGTGTATCATTACAGAAATGAACATATCTCCAGATGTGATAAGTTGTACTTATCCAGATCAAACTTAGATTGATCACTGACATTCAAATGCATGTATTTAGGCATGCTATTTGTTGATTTGACTCTGCTTTATAAGACTTTTTAGTTTTCATTTATGTTAGAGGTGTCTTCTGTATATATTCTTCCTTTCACTACAAAAGGATGGAATTTGTCGTGATATCGAAGGATATACCACTTTTCCAATTAAATATTTGGGAGACATACTGCATAAGATATGTGTCTGGCAACTTGATGCTCCAGTTGCTCTTCTATCAAAAGGGTTTACATTAATGAACAAATTCATGCGTATTATTTGTATACATCCCCTAAAGGAAGTAAGAAGTGTCTGCTCCGGTATGAAATATGTCTTCACAACTCAAGCATGTAATCAGTAAGGAAATCAGTATTAAAAATGAGAATACTGGATATAAAACCTAGATATATCAAAGGGTATAATTTTGTTCAGGTCTTAACATGATGAGTGATTTATTAGTGATGTCTGGAATTCGAACTGGCCTTGATTGGATTTCCGTGTCCCTCATGTCTGTTTCATTGTCCCTTGTGTCTAGCTATGTTGTTGGTTAAGTGATATGGCCTAAGGATCCTGCTTTTAAGGATTTCAATAAACAGAAATTTTTC